GGGTTTGGTTTTTTGGGGGGTTTTTGGGGTTTGGTTTGGTTTTTTCATTTTTTGGGGGGGCTTGGTTTGGTTTTTTGGGTTTGGTTTGTTTTTTGGGGGGTTTGATTTGGGTTTTTTGAGTTTGGTTTGTTTTTGGGGGGCTTTTTTGGGTTTTTTATGGTTTGGTTTGGGTATTTTGGGGGGGGGGGGTTGTTTGGGTTGGGTTTTGTTTGTTTGGTTGGTTTTTTAAATCATAGGCAAGAACAGACTGCTGCAAACAAAAGCATATGGTTAGAAACTGTCCAAACACTGACCTTTTTACTTGTTTTTGCCCAAATATGAAAATAAAGACACGGAGTCGGAATTTCTTCCTCCTTAATTGACTGGAACGACCTCCGGCTTTGATGAACCCAACTCTACAACCGTGAATCCGGCGTCTAACCCGCTCTGTCCTTTTACAGAGACGGAGTTTGCCAAAGGGCTGGTGAAGATCGCGGAATCGGGACGGAACGCTATCTTCCAGCAGGTGGGGATCCCAGCGATGGGCCTGTTTCACTGCACGGGGGAGAAATCCATCATTTTCCATCGTTTTTTGGTTTTTGCAGCATCACATGCCTCTTCGGACGCTCTACACCATGGTGCTAGAACACGACATCAAGGTTGGGAACTCAGCGAGTGAGACGGTGGGATTGCTCCAGCAGAAGGAATTCTACCAGGTTGCGGATTTTTGGATAATTTTGCTGAAAAATTAGACAGGAGCATCACAGAGACCTGACAGAAGGGATTTATCCTGGTTTGAGGGGGTGGAAGGGAAGAAAGAAGGAAATTCTCACCAAGTTTAAGGGAAAATGAGGCATCTTGTGTTCTAATGTCGTGCCTTCGTCCGTCAGATATTTTTTCCTGCCTCGCGAGGAACTCTTGCCGTCTTAACTCTTGTTCCTCCACAGCCTCTGTCGGCCAAGAAGAATGAAATTGAGAAATGGAGGAAAGAATTCAAGGATCAGTGGACAAAGGAGCAGAAGAGGATGGTAAGAGGCCGATAGATGGGTCTGACCTTTGCTGCTGGGGAGGAGGATGCTCCTGGGCACCTAGAATCATAAAATCATGAAGGTTGGAAAAGACCTCGAGGATCATCAAGACCAACTGTCAACCCAACACCACCCAACCCACTAAACCATGTCCTGAAGCACGTCACCTTGCACAACGAGATCCAGGAGGGCTGGGTCTCTGCTCCGGGACTCCTTAGAGCTCCTGAAGTTTGGGAGGAAGGGGACAAAGAATATCCATGTCCCTTTGACTGAGAACATCCATTGGAACCAAGAGACGGGGGCTGGGACCTGTTCCTCCCACTGCCTCAGTGGGCTTCCTAAACCTATTTCTTTATTCCGTCCTTCCTCCTTTATTCCATCCTTCCTTCCCTTATTCCGTCCTTCCTTCCCTTATTCCTGTTATTTATTTTTATTATTTAATATTTATTTTTTAATTTCCTTTACCTATTCCAGAACGAATCCCTGTCATCCCTCCGCAAATCCCGCCTGCAATACCTCCAGCGCTGCGAGGAGCTGGAGAAAGCCAAGCACTTGAGCGCCAAGGCGGAGGACGAATACCAAAACGCGGCCGTCGCCAACCCCGGCAGCGCCAACAAGCAGCTGGAGAAGCGACGGCGCTCTCGCGAGGAGGCGCAAACCAAGGTGACGGGCTCAGACCAGGCTGTTGGTGTTCCCAACTGGCTCTGTTACGGCTTGTTCACACCCATCCCGTTGACTTTCTCCTTTTTTGCTCCATTTCTGGCCACGCACAGGTTCAGGAATCGGAAGCTTTGTACAAGATGTGCATCGGCGACGCCAACTTTCGGCGCCAAGAATTGGAGAAAGTCCGAGCGCGGATCATCTCCCACATTCGGAAGCTTATTTACCAAGGGGATGAGGTGCTGACGTGGGTATGCGTGGTCGTAGAATTTCTCCTCTAACCCTTGTTGCAGGGAAAAAAATCTCTTTGGGATAAGACCTCCAGGCTCTTCAGCATTTTACTGACCATTCTCAACCAGCTGAAATGAGGAGAGTGCTCTGGACACTGCTTTGCTATCCAAAAATCTCAGATATCTAAAAGATTGTCAGTTTCTACTGCTTTGAGGATACAGTTATCCACAGAAAACTTCTAGGTGGTGGAAAAAAAGAACAAAATCAAGAAATATAATGAATATAGAATATAAATACAATATATTAATTTTTATCCAACCTGTTAAGAATTATCGATAAGCGGAAGTGAAGGGAACGGAATTTGGCTGCTGAAAAACTGAAAACTGTTTCACTACTTGAGATCCAAGGGAGAAAAATCACCTAGGATTTGACTCACAATTTTTTTTTTTGGTTTCTTTCCCCCATAAGGTGACTTTAAGGATGTTCAAGCAGCGCCAGGCTCAGTCAGAGCAGATTCCAGTGGGATACCAGTACCTGTCCGAGGTCTGCAAGCCCTACAAAGCCGGCGAGAAATACCTGGAGTTCATCCAGGCTCTGCAGAAGAAAGACGTTCACGTGGAAGTGTTTGAATTCGAGCCGCTTGCATCTGGAGGGCAGAGGTAAGGTAAAAAAAAAAAAAAAAAAAAAAGTGGAAAACTTACATCCTGGATGAAAGTTCAGAAATATATAGTGCCCAGAACGAAAAAGATGCTTTTTCAGGCACCCGTAAGCTGCCCAAAAGAGATGCTTTGTCTCAGGTGCTCATAAGGCACCTCCGTGATGAATATTATCCGTTATTCTTCACCGCTGGAAAATTGTTTCTGAATTTCCCAGGTCTCCTCCCAGTGGAAAAAAGAAGACGGCATTGCATCCCACCGGACCCTCTCCCATGGCAAAGGATGCGAGCACTCCAGAAGAGACGGCCAGAAAGCAGTTCTCCACAAACGGCGACCAGAGTAGGTTGAGTTTAATCAAAACGCCCCACTTTGCTCTGGAGTCACCGTTGTTTAATTTAGATTTGTAACCCAAGAGGTGGGAGAAGTTCTCAAATTCTTAATTCTCTCAAAGTGGGAGAAAATATTGATAAGTGTTTGTGGATTTTCTTGGGAGCTTGGTTCGGAAAGGATTCCAAGAGGGCTTGGGGTGGTCCGTCACCGTCTCCACCTTCCGCAGGTGCGAACAAATCCCTCTGCAGCGACACGGAAAGCCTCGGCGGGAGCTGTGAATCCCGATCCTTGGATTCTCCCAATTCTAGCCCAGGTGAGAGATGCCAAAAATTCTTGCCTAATATTGGCCAAGAGTCTAAAATGGGAATAAAGTCTACCTTGGCCCAATTTTTTCTTTTTTCTTAAGGAAACTCCAACAGGAGATTGTTGAAAGTTCCCTCCACCGGCACCATGTCCTCCTCGGATGATTTTGAAGAGCGAGATTCCTTGCAAACTTTTGAGAACGGTGAGCCACAGGCGTATTTGACCCAAGAGGTGGAAACCGTGCTTACGTCTCGCTTCCTTTTCATGTTTTAACGTTGTTTCCGCAGAAAACGGCACATCCCAGCAGCAGTTTAGGAACATCCTCCTCTCCAGTGCGGCGCAGAGCCACCGGCTCCGGAAATTGCGAGGACCGTCCAAGTGCAAGGAGTGCGACACCTTCATGGTCAGCGGCTTCGAATGCGAGGAGGTGAGGGCTGGAAGACGTCATCGCGGAT